CTCTAAAATCATTGGAAGAATCACTTGAGGAAAAAAAATTATCTGGCTCTTCTTCTATAATTACCAAAATATCTTCATCATCTGATGGCTGATATACATCAAATAGAGATAATTCTTTTAAAAGTTGATCAATGCCCATTTCTTCTTCATCATCAACAGGTGATGTCTTTATAAATTTTCCTTTAGCCAAACTTCTACCGATTGGTGTCTGTTCATCAAAATCATCTTCTAAAAATAAACCTATAGTATCTACATCTGATTCTGTGTCATCTTCATCCTCACTACTGATTGTACTATCTTCACTTTCTGAACTATTGCTTTCAGAATCACTGTTTTCAGAACTATTGTTATCTGAATATTTTATTACTAAATCGTCATTTTCTGAACTATCATATTTTAGGAATTCTAGAAGTGGTTCTTCTCCATGTTTATGCTTTAAAGATGATTCTCTAGTGCTTATACTAGATGTATAAATATCAGTTAAGGCCATATAATCTTGTTTGGTTCTCAGATCGACATATTTCACTTTACATTTTGGGTAATTACATAAAACTTTTTTTGCTTTGCATGTAGATTGCTCTTTGGATGATGATATTGTTAATTATTATGTTATACTTTATATCGGTTTAAGATTTTTTGAATTTTTTTGTTAGAAATATATGGTGCATACGCCATCTTAAATACCTTTTTTTTTGCGATAAATATATAAATGTATAAAAACAAGTTAAGGTTATACTGTAGATTTTGTAAATGATCGAAACTTAAATTAAGATTATACTGTATATTCAAACAATGGTTGAAATTTAAATTAAGGTTATATATATTAATAATCAAAATTAATTTTTCCAGTAATATAAATAACATACTTCTTTTTAGAATACATTAATTCTATTTTCACTCGAACACATCAATTTCTTCTCTTTTTAAACAAAAACACATAAAATATAAAAAATATACAAATATTATAAAAACATTATACCAAATACCAAATATAGTAATATTATAAGCACAGAAGGACTATCGAAAATACATACAGAATTCTTTACTATATCATTTACCAAAAAATATTTTCAAGAGAAAATTTGAAGATAAACATGCAAAATTTAACAAAATAATGCATCTAATAAGGGCAATGACAGATATTAGGTAATATCTTAGGGGGTGGGGGGTCAGCCAAGATCTTAGGTTACACGATATATAATAACAGCCAATCAAAATTAAGAATTATCTAAACATAATTATAATATAATATGAGATAAATATAAAATAAATATAGGTATTATGAAGAGAAAGAGTATTATGGTGGATTAGTAATATCTCGTGATCCTTTGCTCCAAATCAAACGATTTTTATACCATTCGATTCATCTCAATGAGACGATTCGAATGGTATAAAAATCGTTAGATTTTAATTACTATATCTCGAGATAAGGGCAATAACAGATATTATCTAATATTTTAGAGGTGAAGATCTTAGGTTACACGATATAGGCTTGTTGTGATTGGCTATATATGTATTATCAAGAATCATGTGAAACCTAAAAGTTTTATAAGCTTTTGGAAATGATTAACATATGGGGACGCCCACAGCAAAAGCAGATGATAGGACTATATAATATATAGTTCTATCACCTGCTTTTGCTATTGCCGTTTCCATATTTTAATTGATGTACTATTACGAGAGCAACGTATATACAAGTTCTAGCCGTAACTATAAATTATGTAAAATGAATGCAGTGTTGATGTTTTGGTGTTCTATTAAAAAATTTTGTCCGCTCCAGTCCATTGCTCTATTGAGAATTTTTAATATTAAACTTAACCTTACTAATTTATTATTAGTTCTTTAATAAATAATTGCAAATTATTTAGAGAAATAAATTTTTTTATAAACATTTCATAGACCGACGAATTAGGGTTAGGGTTAGAAGAATTTATAAGAAATAAACTTGTCTATGAAATGCGAAACCAAGTTGTCGATGAAATAGTTTTCGAAAAGTTAACAAAATTTCGGGAGGCTTCTCCCAAAATACTCAAAAGTAATGCTTCTTCTTCACTTTCTTCTTGGGAATGAGGTTGCGGTGTTCTTTTACCCACCAATATATCACATTCGTTTACTTGGTTTCTTAAAACAAGGTGTTTATGAAGCAGGGGTGTCAAAATTTTCAAATACAAGATCAGGTGTAATGTGAAATCGAAGCAATCATGATTTTTTTAAAAAATCGTGCAAAAATTCATTTATGAACCTACTTTCTATGCTCTAATTAAAAAAATTCCTTGCTAAATTTAACGTTTGGAGGTGTTTTTACTATTGCCAACTCTAAGCCTAACTATTCTAGCCTGTAAATAGCCATATAGATGATCTGGGTATGTTACATTCTACTGGTTTTAATTATACCTGGAGCAGTTTTGTATATGGTACAGTTGGGACAAATTTGAAGTTTTAAAAAATACCAATAGCTCAAAATTAACATGCTTTGGGCTATTAAATAAAGTTGTTTAAAACTTAATTTACATATACTTGTATTATTTTTGATATAATTTAAAAGTTGAGATATTGATGGGATGAAGCTGGGACGGGACAGGACGGGACAAGTCAAAAATATCACAGGACAGTCAAAATGTATAACACTGCCTGGTGGTATATTGTTCAGAGAAGGCTATAGTATGTAAATTACTAGTCAAAAACTTAGCGTTACCAAATTCTTAACTCTAGCATAGACTGGATATAATATAGGGTCTACTATAAAGGAAGTGTTTTATATAGCAGTTTCATGATAAATAATTAACTGCGCTAGTATACTAATAGACCAATCAAATAATATATAGTAACCTCTGATAACTCGTGATCCAGTAATCAGAATTAAATAATTTTGGTATCAATTGATTCGTCTCGATAAGACAATTCGAATAGTACCAATTTGTTTAATTTGGATCGATATATCATGAGTTATACCAAATTTTCTCTTAACTCTATTATAATACTCATATTTATCTTACTTTTTGTGTAACATAACAGAGCATTTTGATTGGTCTTAGGTGGGGAGAAGGGTATGGCCTCATAGTAAATAGATATTAGGTAATATCTGTCACTGCCCTAATCTATAAACTAAATATACCATTATTGATAATATATTGAAAATATAATAAGTCTTATTAATCATAAAGCCAATATTCTGCAGAATATATATATTGAATTTTCTATTTATTATTGCATTAAAGAATATATCTTCTCACACGAAAGGAAAATTTTTGAGAGTAATATAACACATTGCAGGAGAATTAAAAGCACTAATCCTCAATTTCATATAAGCAAACAATTCTTTCGTGTATCTTCCTAACAAAAAAGGTAAATTAATTAATATAACTGTTTATTTAACTAAATATATTATAAGATATACATATAATATTAAACAATTTTTCAGCCATTCAAAAATATCAATATTAATTATATTAGACACCGTATTATTAGACGATATTATAGAAATGATATACTAAAACAATTGCCTATATGCCGAGAAATGAGTAGATATTATTGGAGAGTTGGCATTGTTTCTTGATCTTATATAAAATAAAGAAATAATGCCGAATCCTGATAATCATGTGATATACATTTTGATTGCATATCTTCTAAGCGAAAGATTAATTATTTCAATGTAATTAATGAAATTATAGGAAATTAATATTTTTATAATGTCCAAATTTGTTCAAATACTTTTGTTCGATTATATCTTCTAAGCGAAAGATAATAAT